CTCCGCAGCCAACCGCCTACTCACGGACCCTCAGGTGATCAAGGCATACTTTCCCTCTGAGACAATGCCTGTCTAGGTTGGTCGATCATTACGACTAAATTTGTCTGCCAATTCGACGAGTTAACCTAACTCGGTCATCACGGACGGCCCACTCGTTGGTTGATCACGATAGGTAATCAACTCTCCAATGCGATTCAGAACCCTGGGCTCGAGAGACTGGAGGCTTTGACAACTTCGCTAAGATGCCGGCCCGCCGGTCTACCCCCACGTCAGCTTGCAAAATTTAACCCCGAATGGGACGCAGTTTGCCATGATTATCGACTGCCAGGCGATGAGAACCAGAAAATTTGAACTCTATTGGGGCCATCTACCACTCATAACACCATGTTCATTGTTTATGTTTGCTTTTTCTGCTCACATTGCGGGGGATACAACCAAGAGCGCAACCCCTGGTTCTGATGTTGACATGGAGTTCATGAACACATCCTCGCCCAGTGTGTCCATACATATACGGAGTACGAACCTTGAAAGTGGTGTTGTGGTTAGATATTTTGGCTGACGTTGCTTTGCAGAATAGCGGCATCACAGACTCTTTTTGTTTTGTTTTTTTGCTATGCACAGCTACTGAGTCTTTGGCCACTGGAGTTGATTGCACATCCGAAGCTTTACTTTGACAAAAGAATTCGAAATTGGTCTTTTCCATTCGAAATCTGGAACCTCTCTCTCTCGAGAAACGCACATAAACTGGTCTGCTCTTTCTTAAGAGTATCTCAGATATGGTAGTCAGCATCATCCGGATTCCCCAAAACAGTAACCCCTGGCCAGCTTAGGAGCGTCTACCATTTGGCACGACTCGAAAGCCACAACGGTTTCATCGCTAATTTTAATCACTACGCGCAACATGTCTCAGCTGATTCCACCGAGCTGATACTTTATACTAACTATGTAGGAGATGTTCAAGCATTCCACATTGGTGTTCGCCCTCGGTCTCCGCATTAATCATGCTGAAGTGCTCTTGAAATCACATACTGATGTTGGCTGTTACCCAGAGGCCAAGGATGTCGTCGTCATTCCTCTTCAGGCTTAGCTCTTCTGGAGCTAAATGAAAGCTTCCATGAGAGTTATGAGTGGGTTGCTGACACGGTAGTACTTCGAGGTACCTCAAGCTATTTTATATCATAATAGGTAGATCTACTTCTCATTGGATGTCCAATTGAACTTCAAGAGGTCAACTCCATTTCAGCGTTCACAGCTGCATCTATGAATAGTCTATCGCTTCGAACCGAGCATTTCCGCTTCTCAGCTGCATCTCACACCGCCCCTGCTCCTGGTATGTGAACCAGTTGCTATTCAATATTGCCCGACAATTGAGTTCGACGGTGCGCCGGCCCATGCGCGGTCCGTTAATGGAGTCCCGTTTTTTCCCTAGGCTGAAGGTTGGGCAGATGATTGGAACCAACCATATCGGTGGGAGTCAGGAGAAACATACGCATCTGGAAGATTAAAGACGTCATCGCCGACACGAGTCGTTGGTTCTAAAATAAGGGACTATTAATATTTGGCTCGTCACAGTCGGCCAATGACTTCCCGACTTTGCAGCTTGATGTGCCCTGTAAGCTAGCCACGGCGGATAGGATATCACTCTCAGCGAAGAGTCCCTGGCATCTTTGCTGACAATTGTGGCCAGACCGGAAATGCTTTTTCTTCTTCATGGAGAAGCATGAGCACCTGCAACTTTGACATACATAAAGTTGTATCGTGTCTAGCTTAGCGTAGCCCAGGTACTGCTAGTACTACTGTACTGTCGTGCAGCATCTGCCGACCTAGGCGAATCCATCGTGAGAGGACCCTGGCGATCTCACATTGACCACCTGAAATACCCAAAGACCAGCGACTTTCAACCCTCTTGGCCTCACTAACAGGCCACCACTTGAGTTGGATTGGGGGGTTTTTATTTCCAGGACCAAGGAGCTCAGCTCGTCAGCAAGCGTGCGGGTCAAGCTGGCTAGAACATCTGGTCTGCCTGAGCGTAAGATTATGCTCCTCCTCTAAACTACTCCACCAAAAGCCAAGCCATCATCAACTGACACATTTCGTTTGGCGCTTGAAGTCCACTGTACCGGACCAAGTGGTCTGTGCCATTCTGGCACGCGTTTTGTCACGGATTTAAGCCAACATGGAGATTGCCCTATGGTGTGCCCGTGCGAATAGAACCCCCCTAGAAGGAGGTTCAGGTCACCTAGTCATTAGCAGATCTCCCGTTATCGGGCCGGCACAGATCTTCACGAATCGAATTCGAGATATGCGGTGAACTGGGCCATTACTAGACCGAACACAGCTGTGAAGAATGTGGTTGTGGAAACTATGGCGTTGGAGAGCAACTCCAGCATGGCTTCAGTGGGAGCTATGAACTCGGAGGGCCTCCGGTGCTGGTCATGTGAGGAAGATTTGACGATTCACGATACGATGGATAGTCACCTTTGCCTATTCCTCGGTCTTGGGTGTCACCGGTTGTTTCCTCGGGCAGGCATGGATGGTGCAAGCCAGCCAGCCAGCCTTCTGGTTCTATCTGCATTTCAAGCAAGTAAAAACCGGGGTCAGGCTGAATACTGGACTCCAGACCGACAGAAACGAACAAGGTCAAACGTTGTTCGGGATTAACACAACAGGCAAGATCAGGGCATGCACGGACTATGATTTTCAATGCTCCAACCACGGTTTACATCCCTGAGCTGGGCTGGGCTGGCTCGCGTTTGGTCTGATATTCGCAAAGCTTTTGGTGTGGACAGTCCATGATACTCCATGACTAGTATTCAGGAGGCGGGATCCTGGAATGTGTCTGCCTCATATTGGAAAGCACATGTGTAAGTATGGCCGAGCCTTGCGTTAGCGGACGTGGACGTGGACGGCGCTTCCTTTCGTCCAGCCCTACCGATTGCGACCGGAGCAAATAGTCCAATTCCATTAGAAACCGCCAGAGCTCTGACGAGCCAGGCATTTAGACGTCTTCTCAAGGTGTGGCGTCTGAGGCCGGCTCGACGCAGTTTGATTACACCACTACTGTACTGTACGCGGTACATTACAGTACAGCCTCTATTGAGTGAGGCTATTTGTTTCATCTACCTTTCTTGGTCAAGTATGAGACTTCTTTCCGGAGCATGCTGTCATTGCCCCATGAGTCAAAAGCATAGCAATACGACATTGGCTATCCTAAAAGAAAGTCAAAGGGAGAGACAAAAACGTGGTGCCTCGGGGGTTAGCCGAAAACCGAGATCTAGGCTTTGGACTTGCGTAGATACGAGTGTATGCTATCTTGTTGGTGTCTTTCCCATACAATACCCGTACCCCAGACTCACTCTCACTCACCTGCTGGGGGGGTGACTGACTGTGGACTGTGGGTTGTGGGTGAGGTGATGGGCGGATGCCAGTCAAGTGGGGGATCGTGGGGAGCGGTGTGTCGACCCTCTACTCTGTGTGGATGGCCTCTAGTCTTCATCACAAGACGACACCATAATCAAGATGGGCAACGTGGACTGCAATGGGAGAATACGACCCTACCATCGGCAGCGTAGCGCTATCCCACTCAACTACATCATCGCAAAAAATTCTGGTCTGATTATTTACGTTTGATAATACAGACATGGGCCAAGATCGACTCCCTCACGACTCAATGGCTCTCATTCAAGACATATCAAACACTTGGCATGCTTACTGTGCCTCCCGGAGTTCGGCTTCTTGACTCGCTCGGCACTTGGTCACCAGCACAATACATGCAATCTCGTGAATAACAAAAATTGTCGACCAAAGCCAATCGACTGGCTCAATCTCAAGCAACATCTCAACTTGACAGTTGCGGTCTGCAGGTGATTCGCTGCGTGCCATTCGATTCGAGTCCCGGCTATCCGTACTATCGCGTACTATCGCCGTCTCGTGCGTCGTCACGGGACGATCATCAAGCTAACTATCAAGATTCTGCAACCCGTAGCCTGGATCAACAGACTGATTGGACATGCTCCCAGAAGCCTCCCTTGCCATGTCTGTTATGCCGTGATGAAGCGAACGTCGTCCCCTGATGTGGCTGCACAAGCGTGCGTGTCCTCAACTCTGCTTGTCCTTGCCTTTTCGATCCTGGGGTCCTGAAGGCCGTTGGTCAACATGGATGAGGCCTCTAGTTACAGTTACTACGTACATGTGTATGTATGTACTAAGTTAGCGTGCGTTTGTTATTCTGCAGCACCAAATGTGATTCATGCAGGGTACGACTCGAGAACTTTGATAATGCAGGAAAGTAATGAAGTACACACGTAGAAATGTGCTCATCAGCGTCGTGGTGATTCAAACTCATGATATCACAGACCCTCTATCTCGCAGCATTCTCTGCGGCAAAGCGAGTAAACACGTCTGCCTCATGCATCTCGGCAAACCTTGTCTACCTACACAAAAGTCCTCTTCTGGATGGTCCATTGCTACATCTGTCTGTCTCAAAGTCATTAAGTGTCTCATATTAAGGTTGGCTGGGAACAAGACTCTTGAGTTGAAGCCATGGCGTTCACTAGGACAGCTGCTGATTCAGAGCGATAATAATATTACATAGGATACCTAATCTAAACCTCAATATTGGACCAGATCTATTATAATCTAAGGTCTTTTACTAAGATTGGTCTCGATCATGAAATTGTATCTTCACGTCAGCGAGAATTGCAACGGCTTCTCTTCCTGCGTTATCGGGGCTGACTGGTGGGCTCGTAGAATAGGACCGAATCCTTCTATTTGGCAAATACAGTGAGATCAGATGCTAGAGGATATACACTTGTCTTTTACCTTCAAGGAGCTTTGCGCAAAGTCCTGTTAATCGCAACTACATACAAATCTAGTCGAATCAGTCATGTAGCTATCTTGACAGATGCCCCTCCGTCTCAGCCATAAACCCAATATACATAATAGCAAACAGCGTAGATATGTAGGCATCTATGGTGAGCCTGCAACATAGATTTACCAATTTACTTGCGTCTTGGAAAAGTTTCGGTTTCTCGCCCTTTACCCTGGGACTCATGGTCGACTGCTGGTCGTCCAAAGCTCATTCGTCGTGCCTCCAAACGAAACGTAGACCTGAAGCTGCTTCCGCTGGCGGGCGTCGTCGATTTGTTTCTGCTTGGGGTCTGCGCCCCCTCACGCATTGCTTTACGTAGCTTACGTGTCTCTACTGTTAATCCCTGGGGTTTCTTGTCTCGATATGTGGCGGCTGGAGTCACTTCCCCCCGCGCTGTTACCCCAGTAGTGGTTTGTGGCTGTCGGGAAGGTCGATCGAGTGCGATGTTTAGCTGAGACTCAGAAGGAAGAGGTGGTACAGGCGGCCTAGGTGATGAGAAAAGCGGTTCCGGGGCATCTTCGAGGAACTGCTTCCATTGTATAAGACTCTCTTTACTGGTCCTATTATCAGTGACGACGTTGTTTTGAACAGTGTCATCATTAGCCGCACTTTCGAGGGAGTCCTTACGACTGGACCTCTTTGGCGATTGTCTGTTCTGAAACTCACGCTCGACTTTGTCCCGGAAGTACGCCGCTCGTTTCTCTTTCTCTCTTTTCCCTTCACCATTACCTGAGACCCATGGCGACGCACAAGGTGGTTCGGGTTCGCAGTTAACAAACGGGGACCATGCCAAGGTGGGCTCAGCCGGTGTTCGGGGAGTTGCTGGGGGATTGTAGTCCGAACGCATACGCTTGCGGAAGATACTACCGATGCTCGAGGATGGTGTTCGTGGAACGACGGTAGTTTGTGAGACGGTGGGTGATGGGGTTCTTCGCTCAGGAACGTCTGCCTCACTTCCGGGAGGCATCAAGGACGAGACTCGAGTTGATTCGTCGATCTGCTGGTTTGGTGAACGGTAGGTGCTGCTGGGAGTAAGTCTCGCTCGCGATGGCGGCTTTTGGAGCTTGTGAGGCTGCGAGAAGTCCCGCGTAGTGGCCGATGTTGAACGTTCGAAATCTCCCTCATCCATAGTCACACTTGGCTGAAACAAAGTATTTCGCCAATCCACTCCAGAAGAAGCCTCCACATGCTTCTCAAGTCGCCCGTCGTTTCGCGGCATGGTTCTGGACTTTCGGGGTGTAGTTGCGAAAGCCCTCATCCATTCTTTTGGTGCAAAAGCGCGTTCATGCCGCCCAGAGTCCGGCAAAGCAGGCAAGCGTCTTGCTTTGGGGGTCTTATCTGTTATGCTTGTACTCATTTCAGTTCCATTAGAATCTTGAGGAGGGCATCTTAGACGCTCCTGAGTGCTCTGGAGGTTGAGCATTATGCCAGACCTGGGGAATGTATCCCTCGAAATGCTCTCCCTACGATTCTCCGGGGTAAAACCTGATTGCGCCATAGCTTCCAGATTGAAAGATGCTTTGTGTTCGAGCCTTTTCATAGACTGTGTTGGGGTAACAATTGTGGAAGCCGAACGTTGAAGGCCTCTTGGCGCAGGTGTTGCCTGCAGGATGCCCTGTTCTTGGTGTCTTAGCCCACGAGGCGTACGATCTTCTTCTGTTGGAGTATCATCGTCATCTCCGAAGACTTCGGGATCGAAGGAATCGCCTCGCTCAGTAGGGGCGTTGATCCTAAACATCTCAAGTGTGGTAGGCGGACCAGCATACCCCTTATCAAACAATCTTGGCCATCTACGATCAGATTCGTCAGTGTTAGCCCTATGCTTCCGGCGGTTGATATGCAAGGGACTTGGTTGAAGTTCGGAGATAATTGATTCTGTGTCGGGCTCCCATAGGTCCGCAGAAAGCCCTTGGTGGTACTTATCACCAGGACTTGGGATTAGTCTTGCTTGTCGGGTATCTTCAAAAAGGAGTTTACCGCCAGAATCACCGACAACACGTTTTGTAAGTGTTCCTGGAGTCAATCGATGAGTTGGCTGAACTGCGATAGGGAAACGAGCAAGGGGACTTTGTGTGTCTGTTGTTGCCAGCGGCTGAGGAGTACAGCCAACAGTCTTGCCTCTGGGCCTTGGGGTGGCAAAATCAAAAACAGACATTTCGTCTTTACATATACGGGATAACTGCCTCGAAAGCCTGAAGCTACCAGAGTCGTTGTGGAATTGTCTATCAGCTTGATCTGAGTCACCTATCAGATCATTCCTCTTGACACTCTGACGAGAAGAATGGGTGCCCGGGTCGGGCAAACTCGATGTATTCTGATTTTGAAGGGTCACTGCATCGTCGAAGCTTGCAAGGTGAGCCGCAGTCACCGTTCTCTTGGTGGTCTTGCCTGTGTGTTCAGTCGAATGATTGTCCCCAGAAGCTTCAATTGGTGTGGTCGCACTTGCTGTCTCATCGTTCTCGTCTGATTCATACTCGCTCATAGGCCGCCAATCTTCGACCTCACCCCCGGCTGGTACTGATTTCGTTAGTAGTTATTATGAATGAGTAAGGGGAGAAAAATAGATGACGTACCTCTACGTGGTACAACCATATCCTTATCTTCAGGATCCGCGCCTCCAGGACCATCCCCGGCTTCTTTGTCCAACTCTGAGGCCTTTTTGAACTGAGCATTACTCAAGTTGAAACGCAATGTATCCATGAATGAGGGTAGAAGGATCGGCTCGCCACCCAAGTGAAGGGATAGACGCATGGGTCCATTGGCGTAAGTTTCTGGCCTTACAGTTGATACTGATTCCCCATCAGAATCAGCTGCATATTCATCTGCGGCAGTGCTTTCTACATTGAAGCCAAAAGCCATGGGCTCCAAATCACGCCGTATTACTTTTGGTATTTGCGGTATTACCAGAAATTGCTTATAGTAGTTCGTCCAGAACCAGTGTTTGTCGGGGGATGGAAGTTCACATGGTCGATTCTCGCACTCAGATAAGTGCTTCTCCATCAGGTACATTCGACAGTACTCCATAGGTGATAGACGTGGTTCTGTAAGTTGGCAACTCAGTCCAATACTTCTACCCCTTCTGTGGAAAGGCCGGAAGGTGCTTCCCCCCATGGTGGTCTGTCTCGAGGGTGATTTGGGACTCTGTAATGGGCTCGAAGATGTATTAGAGGCCTCATAGCTGTTGGCTTCAAAGCTCAAACTTCCAGGAAATGGGCCTATGATAGATATTGGCTCCGAGATGCTTGCTTTGAACGACGGCCAGCGCTTTCTATCACCTGATTTGCGTGTAGTGGAAGTGCCCACGTGCTGGTCCAGTACCTGGAACGGCATACCACTTTGGTCTGTCCTTTCGGATCTATCAGACTGATAGCGCATTCTCTTTTTGATCTTGTCCAAAACGCTGGGTGTGAGATGTGCTTTAAGTCTCTCGGGAATGTGTGGTAAGGGGGGCACAGGTGGCATGTCATTACCCTCATCGTCGCTGTCGGGATCGTACTAGAAATCTCGACTGTCAATTTCTCGGGGTAGGATAAGACCCAAAGCTGCTTGTTCGGCTGGTGACATGTCAAGCTTTCTGGTGAATGGGTGCTGAAAAAACTCTGTTTTGGAGAGGTTATCAGGATATGACAGGACGGGTGGTGCGCTGAGATCTTGAGAAAAAAGAGCGCCGTCCGTTTTAGCTGGGCTCATTTCTCTTCCGGGCATTCCTTTTAGTAGGGGATGTGAGGTCGATAGAGCCCATGGGCTTAAGGGTGTCGTTGGCGCGGAGTCCTGGTTGTCGTTTGAAGTCGTAGTTGTGAAAATAGCGTTCGCGCCCTGGGTTGCACTTGCTGAAAAACCAGAGCTTCGTGAATTGTCTGTATCAAGCAACGTGGACGAGGTTGGAGATGCTATATAATACGATCCGGTGCTGAATGATTTTCGTTCAAGATCGTTCATGATCGCTAAGCCCACACCTTCCAGCTTCTTGAACTCTTCACAATATCTCACCATGGCATCTCTGGCTTGAGGATACCCTGTGACCTCGCACCAGCCAGACAGCTTCATTTTAATGACTTCTTGCTGATGGGGAGAGAAGGGGTCGGACATTAGGTGCTCAAAGACAGAAAACCGAACACTGTCGCGAAGACCCGGCGAGTGTGGAGTTGGGTCGACATCATCTTCGTCTTCGAGAAACACATCTGAAGGCATAAGAGCATTGAACATTCCCATAATTTGAGGGATCTCCTTCCTGCACTCGGAGCCTCTCGTCAATTCTTCGATAAGGATCTAGGGGTAAGTCAGTTTACCAAAGCGCATTCGGGGAGCAGTATGTGTCTTACACAGGCCCTGAAACCGGCGTGTAGAAGCCGAAAATTTGCGGTGGAAGTCCTATCAAGCTCCTGGAGCATTTGTAGTTGACTTTCTGTCGGTGAGATGGTCTCCATAGCAGCATGGGTGGCTTCAAGGAGGCGAAGGCGACGAATTTCGATGGCATCGAGGTACCCAAGGCCATCCATGGCACGTTCAAAGTCAATACCTCCATCATGGGGCTTCCGAAAGATATTGGAAGCTATGTACTTGGAATTCTTGCGACTATTCGCGTCATAGTCGACTCCTCTTGCTGCACGAATGGCTGGCCAGGTTGTCTGAAGGGAGGCTTGAATGATTTGGTCGTTATCGAATGCCAATAGCCTGGTTTGCATTTGCTGTGCAAATCCACACTGTCGAGAGTTAAGGTCATCTGATTTATCGGTGACCAATTGTTTAACTGCTTCATAGCCTATCCCTAACCACCAGGTTTCGAGTTCAGCAGCATAGGGTGGCATCGTTTCGTGATATTCTGCCGAAATATGTGCTCAGAGTGCGGAGGAGAAGGTTTATACAGCGCGATTGTACATGATGCACTAGTCAGAGATGAAGAGTATTAAAACAGTGGAAGGAATAGATCTGTGAATGAAGAAGAAGATACTTCGAGAGTGAAAGGCTGCGGAATATTGTGATCTTGGCAGTGAATAAAGGTGGAAAGGGCGTGAAAGGAAAAAAGTCTGCGGGCAGGGACTGATCCACTGTAGCCGTGGTATTCAGGCTGGCTGTTGAAAGAGCCGTTTGCGCGAGGTGCGTCTTGTTGTTTTTGTTTATGGATACGTTTGTTCATGATGAATATGGACAGAATCGTTTGTGGTCGCGTCACTTGTCACCTTCCTTCCATGAGTTGAACCACCTCCCACTGTTTGAAAGCATTGTTGACTAATCTCGTGGCCTAATAGTACATTTGACTGCTATTGATCGATTGATAGCGACTCGATTCATTGAGGACATTCGTTACTGACGGGGTGCTGAAGTTGTCGATACTGCCCGTTAACCCCGTATCTCATGAAGTCGTTTCAGGGTGGGAAAGATCCATTTGGTGACATGCATCTAAACCCCCCCTGTCCTGCTGAGTCTCAACTCAATTGACGAGGCCTCCTGCATTCCCCGCTAAAATCACAGTGGTTTTTGCACTAGCGCGAGGAATAGCGGGCACACTCAGTGGAATTGCAGGGGGAGCTTCTGCAGCTGTCGCCGAGGATCTGGTCAAGTCTCTCTGCCAAGGCCAATGGCAGCCAGTTTCAGGACAGCTAACTGTCACTGGTGGCTCCGAATCTGTTCTGACGCAGCACGTCCAGGAACCCGAGCTAACTTTGTTTTTAGATCCTTGACCAGGGCAAGCTTGAATTGGACTGTTCCTTTGGTGCCACGAAGCCACTGGTCGTCCTACTCCCTTCTTTTTCTTCTCTCCTTTGTTCTACTGGCGTTGGTGTAACTCTTGATAGCCTCAGCCGGAACGTCAATTGACTCGCGGAACTGCTTGCGGCTTTCTCTATTGCACTGCAAATCACCAATTATGATTTTGAGGCATTCAGGGCGCCTGGTGCGTCGCCTCAACCAACCTGTCAGCTCCTTGAACTTGGCACGACCAGTTGGACCGCAAATTTGGTATCTGGGGCCGAGGGGCACAAATGGCAATGTTGTCAGCAAGCTTCGATTCTCATCTCAGACTCACAAAAGAAAAGGTATTGATTGATATTTAACTCTTGTCTTGTCTTTTGTCACACAATCCCATCAAGAGGCGACTCTTCACAGCAAAACTTGGGTAGCCCAGGGGTTCCGGCATTTGCATTTCTGTTTCCAGAAACGGTACTTTCAGTCAGCATCTTATCGAGACTTGGCTTTGAACAACAGTCCCAACCATTTCTGATCTACAAGTGGGGATCATCAGGCTGGAGAGTGGGAATCGCTGCATAGCAAGTAATATGTTGCTGGGAGCCCAGAAATCGACATGAAATCGAACTATTACTAACTTTTTAAAAGCAGAAGAAGCACCCGAGTATAATGCAGAGGCAGAGGCAGAGACTCAGAAAGGATCCAAGTCCTCCTCCTCCTCCTCCTCCTCCTCCTCCTCCTCAGAGCCTTCACTCCTAGGCAAGATGGGAGAGGCCGCGGCCACGACCTTTGCGTCCATAGTGGTGTTGGGTCTGGGCTTTGCTGCAGCGGGCTATATTTATCACAAGTTCTACAAGATGCTCGTGCTCCAAAAGATGAACCATGCTTTTGAGCCAGGGGATCCGGTCCTGGATTTGGCTGCAATTGGTAAAGATGTTCCTCATCAGCCAGGTGGTTCTGGCGAACATTGGATATACCGCCCTGAGCAGCAGCGTATTGATGACATCGTCATGGGACGCGTTGTTGGGCATTATTACCTTTTGATCGGCGACAAGGGGTCTGGTAAGAGCAGCATGCTTATTGATGCCATGCGAAAGAACGAGGGTGACGGTGTTGCCATGTTCGAAGCGCACGCAGACCTGGAGATCTTCCGCATTCGTCTTGGCAAGGCCCTCGATTATGAGTTTCACGAGGATTACATCGGAGGGTACTTCAGCGAGAGGGGTCCCCGCGAAACCACAGCCCTTCTGGACATTGAGCGTGCTCTCAACAAATTGGAGAAAGTGGCCATGCAGAAGCGAAGAGAAAGAGGCAAGCCTTTAGTGGTGATTGTCAACCAGATGCACCTCCTTCGCCATGATGATGATGGTCGAGATGTCATTGAACTACTGCAGCAACGGGCTGAACAGTGGGCTGCTGCCAACATTGTCACTATGGTTTTCAACTCAGATGACTACTGGGTGTATGAGCGCCTCAAACAGCTTGCTACCAGAATGGAGGTTCTCCCTGTCACTGATCTACCCAAACAACAAGCTATTTCGGCTCTCCAGCGATACCGTCAGAAGTACTGGAAGGAAAGCATTGACGCCCAAGTTCTCGAAGAAGTTTATGAAAGGGTCGGAGGGCGGCTGAGTTTTCTCAACCGAGTAGCAAAGAGCAGGGACATGATGGGAACTTGCGAAAGGATCAAGGAAATTGAAAAGAAGTGGTTCCTCAACCAGTGTTGGATTCTCGGTCCAGAGATGGACGACGATGTCATGGATCAACAGAAGTGGGCTGTAAGTTTGAAGAAGTACTACGCTGCATTTACGAAGACAAGTTACTAACCAAATCATAGGCTGCCGCCATGTGTTTGGCCAAGGCGTTGGTCGACAAGGAAAAGGATATGGAAGAGCATGAGACCTACGACCCTATCGTTGGACATGTGCTTCCGACCTACCCTTTCCACATCGCTCAACAAATAATGACTCGCTGTGACTTTATCCGAGATCTCGATCGATTGAACCTCTTCAGCATCACCAGTGAGGCAGATGTTCGAGCGAGCAGCGTTCCAATGCATCGAGCCTTTAGAGAAATTTGTGCTCAGCCTGACTTTGACAAGCACCTGGAGGGCACGATACAAAGAATTGCTGATATCGAAAGCTTGGGACGTACTCGTGAGCTTGTTGCCAAAGACTTGGTTCTTGGTGGACAGTATGAGATCGAGCATAACCGCAAGGGTATTACAGTGAAGCTGAAGGAGGCTGAGAAGGAAGATGACTGAAGCAACTGTGTGCGTTCTTGGATTGCTTCCATGGAAGTAAATGGGAATAATGACGCCTTATTCGTTTTTTTTTTGGTTTTTTTTTTTTTTTGGGGGGGGGGGGTTCTCTGGTCCTATACGCCTGAATGAGGTATGACTGGAATAATGTTGAAGGACAGGCGATGGATATTTTTGGGTCTGATGAAGCGACCTGTACAATAACTGACTGACTTACATAGATTTTCTTGGCACGTGTCGAAATAACTCTGTACAAACCTGTACTATTTCTTTAGATTAGAGTAATAAACAACAACAGTACATATTTGACTCAATGCTTCGAGATTAGCTTCACATCATGATTGACCCTCAGGGAGCAAGAAAACTCAAGGCTTGAGAAGAGGATACTAAAATAAGCTCAGTGAAAAGTCCCCTAACTTTATATTATATTGTTTCCTAAGGTCAAGGTCTTGAGTTTTCTTCATCTCTCGCAACTGATCTCTTGATTCTAGGTAAGCTACAGGCAGAGACCAGATGAAAGGGGTAGGTGTGGGGTTCACGTGATCAATGTCACGACAACGCGAAGGGAGCTACCATCTCTAGGTTAACCACGCCGTCAGTTTTTTTCGTGACGCCCCACACCTTCTTCCAATTTCCCCTTACCCTACATCCTCAACTCGCGTTCTGTCGACGAGAAAGAAGCTATCGTCGCGAAGCTGTTCACCGATGTCAGGCAACGGCAACGGTAGTAGCAAGTGGCCTGACTTCCGCCTCGCGTCGACCCTATGGTCTCTTATGCCCGGCTCCCAGTCCAACAGGCCAGATAAGCAAAACGACCAAGACCGCAACGGCAACGAAGGCCACAAGAACGAGCAGCAACTCAAGAACGAACCCCAAGAAGAGCTTCCAGAAGAGCTAATGCAGTCACTCGAGTTGACCCAAGACGAAGTCGGCACCGGAAGCCGGCCAATTGACGAGATGAGCGGTTTCGATAACTACGATGGCGATGCTCAGTCTGGTCCAGAAGACGACGTTCAGGAGCAAGACTTTGGTACGCTCGAAATGTTCGACAGCAACGCAACACAAGCGCCCTACACGTCGCAACTCGACAGCGCGTCTCAGGAAGACCAGGCACCTGAGGCGCCCACGTCGGAAGACATACCGTTCTCTCAATCCCAAAAGCACAAGCGCGACAAGAAGGGGCGCAAACAGAAGGGCATAAATGAGAGTGAATCTCCACAGCTGCCAGCTGCCCAAGGATCCTTGCGCAAGTCCAAAAAATCCAAGAAAAAGTCAACGGTACCGGTCGAAATTCCCGATAGCCTGATCGAAAACAACACATCAACCATATTCCCATCTCAGCCTTTGGACAACAACTTGGCTGCTGACCTTGATGATGAGGCGGCTGCTCCTGCTACTCAAACGAAGCGCAAGCGCAACCCATCGGATTCTACTGACGGCAAGCAACGCAAGAAGCGGAGATCCCGTGACGAGGCAGCCGACATCGAATCACAGCTGGTGGAACCAGGAACACAAGATGGCCAAATTGAGGAAGCAGACATTAAAGAATCTCAAGCTGCCTCTTTCCTTCGCACCAGGGACGCAGCTCGCCCAGCTTCCATTTACGATGACGTCGCAGAGGATGCACCCCAATTTCCCAGTGCTGCACGCCTCGAGGTGCGTGATGCTCGATCAAGAGAAGGTAGTGCCGCTCATGACGAGATGGACATTGATGCATCAGTGAAGCAGACCCAGGATCAGGAGACTGAGGTGTCTGGCTTTTCTGCAATCAATGGGCAAGAGAACACAGAACACCAGGAGCTTGAACAAGTGGCCAGGGACGTGTGGAATGCGCACATCAACGGCCAGAACCAACCCAACACACAAGACCCATCCGTGCACCCTGAGGAGATGGAAGTTCCAACATCTGCGCAGCGTCCCCATACAAGCAACGATGTGTATGATGTTCCCGGAAGCCCAGTTCAAGCCTCAAACCCCCCAAGTGCAAGTGCCAAGCGAACACGATCAGGCAAGGCGAAGAAGGCAAAGCCTACTTTCTTTGAGAAATCGCCTTCTCCCGAGGTCCCCGAGGGCGACCTCCCATCACCTTCTGCCATGACACCGATGCCACGAAAGCGCACCAAGAAGGCTTCAAATCGTAGAAAATCTGAAGCCAACCGTGCACTCTCATCTCAAGACATGGAAGTCAGAGATGATGACGACCTATATGGCAACCCAGCAACCGGACGACGCAACCGAATGGCTGGCTTCACCCAGGGAAGATTCACAGATGAGGAACTCAGTCGTATTGCACAAGCAGTTGAGAGTTACCGTGTCGAGCGCAACATGGTGCAGCATGAACTAAATGCTATGATCCATGCTCCTGGAGGTACAACCGCTGGTGATGAGCATGCCGCCCTTTGGGCACGCATCTTTGCAACATGCCCAGACCGGCACAGACAGAAAATCATCAATATCACCCGAAAGAAGTTCCACAACTTCGTTGCTCGTGGTACTTGGACTAGCGAGCAAGATGCCGAGCTCCGTGACCTTATTGAGGCCAACGGAACAAAGTGGTCCAAAATTGCGGGTATCATCAACCGTCACCCAGAAGATCTTCGGGATCGTTATCGAAACTACATCATCTGCGGAGACTCCCAGCGGAAGGATACCTGGGACGAGGAGGAAGAGGGTAACCTGACACAGTATGTAATGGAAGCCATGGCCGCCATTGACGAGTTACGAATCATCCAACCTACCCGCGAACTGCTCAAGAAGCCATATGAGGAACTGATCGATTGGCAAAACATCAGTGAGCGTATGGGGAGAACTCGCAGTCGACTTCAGTGTATCACCAAATGGAGGGCCATGAACATCAAGACTCATGGCAAGGATAAGTTGGTGTCTCATGCGCCCGATGCATCTATTTCTTTCCGTCTCGAGAAAGCCCGTCGTCAAATTGCCGCGATGCCTGAGGAAGAACGGTATCGCATGATCATGGCTATTTCAGGCTCATCCGCATCAATTGAAGCCAAGATTCCGTGGCAGAGGCTGGTTGACAAACAGTTCCGTAACAGCTGGCATCGGCCAACGCAGATGCTTCTTTGGCGACGCCTGAAGCAAAGTGTACCCGAGTCAGAACAGAAGACTGTACGAGACTCTGCACAATACCTTCTTAATTTGTACGCCCAGACTGGCGAGCTTCCTAATGTCGACGATGCTCTTTTCGACGATGCGGAGGAAATGGAGTTCGTGAACAGTATCCCAACCGCCCACGCTTCTCACAACAACACTTCTGCCAATGGTCAGAGCCACATGAGCGCCGAATTTGTTAACGAGGCTGATGAGGAGGAAACCGAACAACCACAGGGTGAATACGGCGTTCCTGATGAGAACATCAATCCTGATTTGCCTATCGCACCAATGGAGGACTTCAACCCAGCCCCGATGGCATCAATGGATCCCGTTGCTGCAGTTGCAGACCTGGCTCCCATGGAGGATACTGAAATGGTTGACCCAGCTCTTTCTGCAGATCATGCAGAGCCCGAACAGCCTGAGGAGCCCGTCGATGCACCGATGAAAGAAGAGCCTGTGCCTGTCGCTAAGCCCACCAGCACACCTGTGTTTGATGAGCCAGCTCCCCCCAAGGCAACCCGCGTTGCAAAGAGAACAGGTATGGGCAAGGCGAAGGCACCTAAGCCCCCTCGCAAGTCAACTGCCAGATCTACTCCGGCTAGAGCCACGCCTAGCCGTCGATCTGCTAGACGTGCGGCCCCTTCTCAGGACCCAATTGAGGATGATGGGGAGGTTCAGACCGGGGCTCCCGCAGAGGACAACTCTGAGGTTGACGAGGCTCAGACGCGCAAGCGAAAGACGCCTAGCAGGTTCCGATCCGCTGGCGTCAATGAGGTATCGGCTGCCGCCGACGATTCAGACAGCGTTATGGACGATATGGAAGATTTGCCAGCGCGCATTATGTAAGAGAGAAAAGGAACATGAAGGCCATGACATGGCAGATGATTGATAGAGTTTTGGGAGGGGTCCGGCGTATTAGTACAAGTTACCACCAAGATGGCCTCGACACTAGAAACAGCGGGTGTTGCAGTAATACTTCAGTGGCTGATGGATGGAGGATGCGAAGGGGAGAAACATGCATAATATCGTGGATAACATGAATTATAGAGGGATCGCTAGTCACAATTTATCATCTATCATAATAATGCATGCAGTTCATTGTGCAACAGAAAGAGAGAGAGAAAAGAAAGACTCAAAGAATTCTTCGAATCCATGTAATTTCTGGTATCTATCATCTCTCATCCGTCTACTTTAGCCAGTTGCTGAGGCGCAATTCGTAATGCCAGCAAATCCATCACACCAGTGCCGCCATCGTTTGGCGCAGATCATGATAACAAACAAGTGTCTTTAACTCCAAACTCCACCGAAATGCTTTTTCTTGTGCGAGTGACCCAAGCACTCCGAGTCCGTCATGAATACCGAGTTCCCCCCAAAAAACAAGAAAAGAAAAAGGAAGGGAATACCCGCCGTGTAGCTACCGAGTTCATAACATGACAGATCACAAGATAAGTATAGTACCGTTCGTGGTGGTTAAGATAGATTCTTTAGCGGATCTCAGGCTCTCGCATGAACTCAGGGATGGCGAGACCTCCCTCCGCAGACTCAAAATTGGAAGCTCCAAAGTTGCTGAGGCGCAAACGAGTAGAGCTGGGGTTGATATGGCTAGTGGCCGTGTCCATGAGGTCGAGGACATCTTCGACAGGGTTACCATCGCGACCAGGGCCAAGAGCGGAGTCATTGTCGAAAGAATAAATCTTGATACCGCGAAGATGGGTATCCTTGCCGTTTTGGTGGTTCTCGAGGATCTGCATCTGAACTACCCAAGCGACGAGGGTGTTGCCGTCAGGGCCACCGCCGGCGCCAGCGATGGGAACCTGCTGCCAGCCGGAGGGATTCTCGAGAGCCATGGTAGCAAACTCGATGAGATTGTTCTCACTGGTGCCGGCCTTGAAGACGACCTTGGTAGGGGTGTAGGACTCGTCCTCGTTGTAGTCAACGTAGAAGCGAATGTCACGAATACCAACACGCTTGGTGAAGTACATGGTGAGCTTGTGAGGCTGAGGGCCATCGGATCTGAGAAGTGTTAGTCGGGTGAAAAGTAGATGAGAGTTGGCAGATGAACTCACTGCCAGAAGAGCTTGAGGTCATCGCTCTTGAGCTCCTCAACACCACTGCCAGGCTTGTGGCTGCTAACAGTGAAACGGGCAAGGTTGGAAATCTCCTTTAGTCCAGCAGTAGCGGGGTCGAAAAGGGTAGCAGCTTCATGAGCCTGGTCGTGCTCAGCGGCTTCTTCGTCATCCTCGTCTTCATCGACATCTTCTTCTTCTTCGTCGATTGAGTTCTCATCCTCATACTCTTCAGGGGAGTGAGAAAGAGTGCGCTGATCAACATCGTCCTCAGCAGCTTGGTCGTCGTTGTTAGCCATTGTGGCATCAGAAGAAGGGCCAGCGGGAGCAGCCATTGGGCGAGCGCGGTTGAAGAGAATACTCTCATCAGGCTCGGCGTCGGAGCTAGAGGCGTCGGAATCGCGGGGAGGCATGCTGAGACGAGATCGGTCTGTAGGCTGCTGGGCAGCTAGGAGAATGTTGTTAATACTTGTTCGCAGTTCTCGTGATTCGCGGAGAAGTCGCATGCGCTCTTGATACCACTCCTCAAAGGTGACACTGAGATGATCAATGGCTCGGTAGCAGGCTTCCACGTTCTCCTTGTCTGGAGAAGGAACGGTTCGGAAGACTCGCTTGCGCTGCTGCAGAAGAGCGCCACTGGACTTCTTGAAGGCAAGATCTTGGAGTGGAACTCGCTTGATGCGGTGATCGCGGTTGATTCGATGAGTTGAGGCTGGAGGGGGAGGGATGTAGATGTCGCGGCGCGAAGGCATGTTCAGGGATGAGATGGTTTGTTCGGATAAAGGGGGAACAAGTTCAGTGATGAAGGAGTGATCAAGCTGAGAACAGCAGATGAAGGTACCAGAAGAAAGGAAAGATGGTGATAGAGAAAGAGGGTTAACAAGATATTTGTTGGAAGAATTGGCTATTGGGATACGGGGAGAGATGATGATGTGTCAAGGAGTATGAAGTGTAGATCTGGTGTTGAAGAAGAAGAAGAAGAAGAAGAAGAAGAAGAAGAAGAAGAAGAAGAAGAACAGAAGGTATAAGAGCAGAAGAGAGATGAAGGCATCAGTCTAGTTCCTATCGAGTCATCGAACAATAGACAAAAGAGGCCCATCGAGCAAGTATGAGGGCAATGAATCACTGGTGGCAGCCGTCGATAAGTGGCAGATGACCAATGGCAGCCAACTACAGCTGCAAACACTTTGGGATCGCAGCCGATATGAGATCATGGCACTGCCAGAAAGAGACGCTAAGTATGCACGTTTAATTGAAAATATTTTACTTACTTCTATACAGACGAAACGGATTAGGAGGAGGCGCTCGACGTCGTCTCTGGTCAGGAGGTTGATCTGGTGTTCGATGAACTGGAGGACCGTCAGGCGTAACCATTGGAGCAGCAGCAAGAGGAGAAGCGCCTTGGCTCGGGTGCAATCTAGTAGAAGGGCCGCTTGGAGTAGCAGCTGGAGCTTGGGGCACTGGGGATGAGGTTATATCGGATGGTACAGGTCTCGGGCTCGAGGCCCTATTTGCCTGTGCCTGTGCCCGGGCGCTTGTGTTGTTGTTTGGGTTCGCATGAGTGGCAGCTACATGCCGTGCTCTTCTTGAACCACGAGTGATGTCCATCCTGGTTGGCAGTAATCACTTGATATTGGAACTGGCCAACACTGCCAACGCTCACTGATTATCTCCAAGGTCAATTATTAGGCGCGGTCGCGGTTATAGCTAGCTGTCGTTGGAATATGGGATGTGAGTGGACAATTGGACGCGCTGTCACGTGTCCTGTCCTCTATCGAATCTATTTTAAGTGTCTTGCCTTGTCTACCTACCTAAGTTAGGCTCACCTCAGCTGAAGTTGATCCCTGCCCATCTTGCCCCTCGGCCTTGATTGTTTCAAGCATCATCACTTCAGTTCAGCCATAAGCAGAATTCATGCTACAAGCCAATGCAATGCGACGACTCTGCAGGCTCGATACACTCTCTATACAATATCACCAGTTGTTCATTGAGCTATTTTCATACTCCAAAGCCTAATCATAACCGAAGTCGCCTCTTACCGACCGAACTTCCTGGTTGCAACTTACAGGGTCCTCCTCCTCTTCTACCCCGCCAAAACTACTAACTGTATTACTGCAACCCAACCAGTAGCCAGCCTCTCCCAGTGTAACCCCGGCCTCATGCTTAAAAAAGCTTCCAGAAAATCTTGGCCCGAGATCTGACGCATGCCATGTCATTCACCGACAGACAGAATGTCACTGACACTGACAGTTCTTGACTCAACTACAAGGAACCTTTGGCCTTGACCCTTGTGGGCTTATGAATATAGTACCCTCCATCTTCTTCGGTCTTCGGAGTCGTATTGATCGCTGAAATTTATGCTACGCCGCTGACTTACATCAAGCAGGGAGGTTAATCCTGATGACGAATGCGCAGCACCATTTGCCTTTCGCCATGATCTTCGATCTTGTTACATTGAAGCAATACGACAATTCCTTAATCAATTGAATCTCACGGGTTGCCCGTCCAATCTCTCCACTGCAACGCAACGCCTTGACCATGCCCGTTATAACCGTTCAACGGCCAGTGTCGTTCCTGAAGCTAAGGCAAGGCCCCCTGGGTCCGTCCTCATACTCAGAATCTGAGGTTGTACGGGAATACCGAGATCGCTTCGAGTCTCACCGTGCCAACTAAAAGTGAGGCATGCGGGACATCGTCTGGTTTGGCTCCTTAGCGCACACTTTCAACATGAAACACAAGCTCATGGCTCTACGTGGAGTTGAAATTTCTTCTCGTCGTTGGCTAGAAACGCCTTCACCATGCACGGTCTGCGTGTAGTCCCTCAGCTTGAGTCGAGTGGGCCCGCATCGCCAGCCTCATCTACAGCCATCATCCTGGTTCATCGCCCAATGTAACGCCTCATCTCTCCCGTCTCATTGGCAACGATCCAGATTAACGGTCCAAGCTGTCACCATCGCTGAGATCTTCAGCCGTTCGCGCTACGTCATTCTCGTTTTCACTTAACTACCGGCCTCCCTCGCGCCACGTCGGCTCGCTCCTCTTCAGGGTCCTCCCATGAAACTGGTCCCTTCACTGACTCTCACAAGATCCAAGCTTTTGGGTTTTCCTCTTTGCTTCTTCTCGTCTAACTCAGGGCTTCCATGCTGCCCATCTCAACTTGCGCAGCTTCTATTCGTCCTGATGCACGCTGACGCCTCGGCTTTCTTTAGAGCTCAACTTACATACCCACCATCAAAGCCTTCCTCAAGATGTCATTAGCAAGGATAGCCTCAAGAATCAGGGCCGAGTCGGGGAGACGGGTCACTTGGTGAACCCTCTGAGGACCCTGACTTCAGCCTCACGGGATGATCCTCTTCTTATCATAAATACTGACTTTCGTCGTCTATTTCTGTCAGCTATCAATCTATAATAATCTCAATCATCTCAACTGCTTATCTCTCAAAGTGAAAGACGAGAGCTCATCCTGGGTTTTCAACTGATTTCATTCAATGTCTCTTGACCCTTTGCCTACTATTGAAACGACTCTCACTTCTTCTTCTCCATCCGACATGTCCTCTTCCATACAAAGCCGATCTGCTCGCAGTACACCTGCTATCAACGCATCCGCCTTTAATCCTCCTGAAGCCAATGGATCCTCTAATGAAAGAGTCCCTTTCATGCGAGACAACTCTCCTGAAGCCGACAGCCTACCGTCCAACCCAGCTCTTACTCCAGTCATCACCCATGGAGACAACCCTCCAGTCAGCAACAGAAACTCCGAGGCTGATACAGTAGTCCCCCTCCAACCTGTTATCAGTCAAGATCCCAGTCGAGTCCGTCCTGGCTCTCGCACCGGTAACTTTGTCACTCCCAAGACGGCTCGCTTCTCTCAGGATGGCGGAGAGCCTCTTCAGTACTCTGGAGGTTCCATGAAATCATCGCGACGACGCTATCGTAGTGAAGACTACGACTTTGACCAGGCTGCCGACTACCCCACAGTGAGTGACTATGAGCGATACTGGCGCAATGAAGGTCGCAATGATCGTTACACTGCTCGAAGAGGCCCTTACCCACCTCCCACATTCATGAACCGCCGTCGAGCGCACCCTCATGATTCGGATGAAGAGTTCTACAGCAGTGACGACCCTCGCATGCCTCCCACTGGCGGACGCAGAATGATGGACGAGGAGATGGGATATCCTCATCGACCTTTTCATCACCGACGTGCCTCTACCCTCAACGGCTTCAATATCTCTACAGGCAAGCTTGAGTGGAGTAACCTCAGTCCCAAGGAGAAATCAGAGATCATGCGTCTTCCTTTGACTCAGTGGATGAACTCAAATTTCAAGAACCACTTCGTCGCCAGTCTTGGCGAGCTCATCGGCACTACCATGTTCCTCTTCTTCGCCTTTGCCGGTACAGAAGTTGCCAATATTCAGGCCCAAACCGACAGCAAGACTACCACAGGAGAGTCAACTGGTAGCCTCAACGTTTCCAAGCTCCTCTACATCTCCATAATCTTCGGTTTCTCGCTCATGGTCAATGTCTGGGTCTTCTTCCGTATCAGCGGTGGTCTCTTTAACCCTGCCGTCACTATCGCCATGTTGATGGTGAAGGCTATCAGCATGACAAGAGCTATCTGTCTGTTCCTCTCTCAGATTCTTGGGTCAATGCTTGCCTCCGTTATGGTACGATATTTGTTTCCTGAGACATTCAACGTCCGAACTACTCTGGGAGGTGGTGCATCTCTGGTTCAGGGTGTGTTCATCGAAGCTCTTCTCACTGCTGAGTTGGTCTTCACCATCTTCATGCTTGCCAAAGAGAAGCACCGAGCCACATTTATTGCTCCCGTCGGTATCGGCCTGGCTCTTTTTATTGCAGAGATGGTCGGCGTCCAGTTCACTGGTGGGTCACTCAACCCTGCCCGGAGCTTTGGTCCTTGTGTCATCACCGGTACCTTCGACTCCGAGCACTGGATCTACTGGGTTGGTCCCGGAATTGGCTCTCTGATTGCTGTCTGCTTCTACTGGTTCATCAAGACTCTCGAATACGAGATGGCCAACCCCGGTGCTGATGGTGACGATCTCAACGATCCTACTAAGAACCCTGAGAAGCGAGCTGAAGTCCAGTCTAACGCCGTTCCCTCGATTGCCTTTGGCGGCGGCAAGACCCCTTCGATTCGCAGCTAAAATGACGAGTTCATGAAAACATGATTGCTATGGGTGAATACGAGATGGGTACGGTCCATCAACGATACACGATGAAAGCTGATGAACAAATCCAATGATGCTTCATGAAATCAAATACATGACAAACATACACGAAATGCGAACACGTTGGAGATGGCAAGAAAATCGGAATTGGGTCCTTTTTTCTTCTGATATTGCGGCTTAATTGGTTGGAGTTCGGTCCAGCGTTTTGTCAATTTACTAATGCCCGACACTTTTTGTTGCTTCGAGGCTGATTTCTCCAGATGAAGGAGTGTATATACAGAGATTTTAGGTAGAAAGAAACCATTTACACACAGCTCTTGAATGGTGCTTGAGTCCGGGTTCACCTTGATTGCAGCATGTCATGTCTCCGGTCTGATATAGATGTATATTCAGGAATCTCTACGATGATTGTTGGTGAGATGGTGACCTAGTAGTATTTCTGACATTCCAGGTACTACCAGAAACTGTCATTCCAAAGACACTTGGGTCTGGTCTTGAAGTTCTCGAATCTTGTGACTCTACTGTGATCGTTGACCCAACTCTCGTCTACCAATGCAATG